AGGTAAATTTTTTACTGGTAAGAAATGGTGACGTTGGGGGAAAAATAGTAAAAAAAAAAAAAAAAAATTGGTAAAGTTAGGAAAAAACAGTAAAAAAAAAATGGTTCAAAAGGAGGAGTAAAAAGATTTTTTTTAATATTAACTTAAAAGTCAGGAACAAATAGAAATGGTTAAATGTCAGGATAAATGGTTAAAAAATGTTTTTAAAAAAAGCCTGGAAAAACAGTAAAAATTTTATCATTAAAAATGGTAGTCAGGGGAAAGTGGTATAAAAATGGCTAGTGTCAGGATAAACAGTTAAATGGTAATCAAGTTGGAAAAAAATGGTAAAAAAAAAGGTTGAGTCCAGAAAAAATTATAAAAGAGGTAAAATCAGGAAAAACAGTAAAAAAATTGGAGGGAAAAAAAACATTTTTACCAGTAACAATTGTTAAAAAAAACAGGTAAAGATAAAACAAATAGCAAAAAAAAAAAAAAAAAAGGGAAGGGGGGAAAGATCATGAAGCGAAGTGAAGAGTGAAGTTGGAAAAAACAGTAAAAAAATTACTGTTTAAAGTGGTAAAGTTAGAAAAAATGGTAACAATGTTGAAGTCACAAAAAAACAGAAGAAAAGGTTGGGGAAAGTTGGGGGAAACAGTAAAATTTTTACTGTTAGAAAAGGTAATGCAGGAAAAAATAGAAAAAAGGTGAAGTCAGGAAAAAACTGTAAAGTCAGGAAAACTGGTAAAAATAGTAAAAATGTTGGGAAAACAATAAAAAGGTTACCATTAAAAGTGCTAAAGTTGGGGAAAATGGTAAAAGAGTCAGGGGAAAAAAACAGTGAAAAAACAGGTGAAGTTGGGAAAAACTCAAAAATTTTCTCCTTTAAAAAACAGTGAAGTCAGGAAAAAAACTGTAAGAAAAAATGGTAAGGCTGGGGAACATGGTAAAAAAAAAAAAAAAAGTAAAATTGAGGGGAAATGGTAAAAAAAGGAAAAGTCCATGAAAAAAACTGTAAAAAGTGGTGAAAAAGTCAGAGAAAACCATAGATTTTTTTTTACCATTAACAAACACTAGAAAAACATGTAGAGTCTGAAAAAACCTGTAAAAAATGCAGGTAAAGGTGAATATAGAAATGGCCAGAGATTTACAGGAATACAGTTCTGGTACGCTTGTGTGATGGCATGAGAATGTGGTTTTCCTACACTTGATACAGCTAACTTTACATGTGTACTAGAAATTATTTTGCATCAGTTCCAGTAAAAGAAAGCTCTTGATTCATTCCTGCCAATTGGAGGGAAAATAATAATGTGAAAACAGTGTGAAGATCACCCCCTATTTTTAATTTACTTAATTTTCAAAGCGAAATGCACTATATATGCTTAAAAGTCAAAGGCTTATGTAAAACTGAACCTCAGCAATCAGCAAGAACAGATCCTAATCCCATGGAAACAGACACTGATTAAGCAAGGAGTGCCTTCAATTAAAAACCATTCACAAAAAGTAAAGTAAATGTAGTAAGGTTTTTGTTTGCAGGGTGGGGCGGGGGAGGGTTATAGATAACCAGTCATTGATATATCCAGTGTAATATCCTATTCTTGGTAAACCAGATGTCATTTTCCACATGGACCAGAGTATCTTCAATCTAAATCAATTGCACAGGCTAAGGAAGACACCTACCTATTCATGTTGTCTTTGGTGCCCCATACTATTCTGTGTAAGTCTATCAGGCCAGATCCTCAGATAGTAGATCCTCAGTCTCACTGGATCTGTGCATGTTTAAAGCAGATTCGGTTCTGTATTGTTTCAGATCAGAGGGAAGGAGGAATTGGGATTTTAAAAAATGAGCTGATTAGTTAAATGGCATTTTAAAACTATCACGGTACTAGAACCATACACTTGAACAATATTTTTTATAACAACCAAAAGACTGTCAAATCAACAAAGGTGGTTATACTGGAGGCTTCTGTCTGTTTTTGTGTTGGATTTTAAGGACCAAACCTGTAAGTAGATACATACATCCTGTGCCATGGCCCGTTGTGATAAACTGTGCTCTAATCAGTGAACATCCCAAAGATGCAAATTTACCATATTGTCTTGTTTTAAGGAGGAGATGTGCCAAAAAGAAAAAAATAAATTTGCATGCAATATCCAGAGTCTGAAAAAAGTGGAAAGAAATATTTTAGTATGAAAACAGTAAACACAAGCGCATAAACAGAAAGCTCTCTCAGTAACCAACAGTGCCTTTTCCCTTTTTTCTTTTCCCTAGTATATGAAGATGATGGGTGTCAACTCCAGCAGTCATTTTTTTGCCTGGTTCATAGAATGTGCTTGTTTCCTTCTAGTCACAGACATTTTTCTCATTACTATTTTAAAAGTTGGCAATATCCTTCCCAAAATAAATATAGCTATTCTATTCCTGTACCTGATGGACTACAGCCTTTCCATCATAGCCATGTGCTACTTCATCAGTGTCTTCTTCAACAACACCAACATTGCTGCCTTGGTTGGCAGCCTTGTATACATCCTCACATTTTTCCCCTACATTGTCCTGCTTGTAATTGAAAATGACTTGAGCTTTGTAGTGAAGAGCCTGCTGGTAAGTTTCTCAGTGAAATAAAAGTCTTAATGCATTCAGGAGATTTCATCTTTGAGTTGAGTTCCTGTTTTGCCTTGTGTCACAAATAAGAACAAATTTGGGGACCTCATCTTATACTCTATTTATGGACAACACCAAACCCCGGTGCAATGAGACACACAATAGAGTTTTGATCAAGAGATACCTAGAACTAGAAAAGCAAAGCTCTTATAGGTAGGAATGTGAGGGGTCCTAACAGAATGGAGCACTGACCCTTTTCACCTGGCTTTACTATTCCTTTAATTTCACAAACATCAAATTTACCTTTGTGCAGTAATGAAAGTAGAATTAAAGAATCAGAAATCTAATGTTTCCTCCAAAAGGTAAAAAATCGGGAGGTCGGATTTCAATATTAAATGGAGAGTGGTGGAATAAAAGGGTTTATGAAGAGGTATAAAGCATCTCTCTGATTAACTCAAGAGTTAGTGTCACTTTTTGGCATTCTGGCCTACTTTTCTTACTGCCTGGCCTTTACAGAGGTGAGACATTATTTTTATTGTTGTAAACCTCATGCTGAAGGGTGAGAATTTTGTTGAGATGTGAATAGTTAGGTTTCAAAGGCCAAAATCATTATTTTCTTAGGCAAATCCAAGTCTACAAAACCCACTGCAATGCTACACATTTAAATTGGTGGTAAATTTAGCACCAGTACTTTCAGTCATTCTCTTTGACTGCTGAATTGGCAAAGTTTAGGCTCAGTTTTTCAAAAAGATGGTGACACCGCTTCTATAGCTCATATTCGTGAAATCCTTCATTTGAATAACTGTATACTCAGTAAATCTAACCACTTGATTTTTGTGCACAAATCTATGAGCTGCATATGCAAAATTGAGGGGTGGGAGTGCAGAATTTGAGGCCATTCATGAAGATTTTGTTGAGAATGTGCCTAATTCAGTATTCAGTGAAGTCATTAAAAATATTCTCATTCACTTCTGTGACTACTGTATCAGATCCAAGATGGGCTTTTGAGTGGTTGGGTTTTTTTGGGGGTGTGTGTGTGTGATTTTTCATTAGTTTTTTGTTTTTCACTTTCTTCCACAGTGCCTGTTGTCTCCAAGTGCATTTGGTTATGCAAGTCAATACATTGCTCGTTATGAGGAACAGGGAGTAGGTGTGTCCAGTATATATGAAAAAAGGTTTTGAGTTTTCATTGCTATGATATATTTGACTGACTAATACAATTTTGTTTTCAAATTCCTTTATGCAGGCCTGCAGTGGGACAATATGTATAAATCTCCATTGAATGGAGACAACACTTCTTTCAGCTGGATGTGCTGGCTAATTCTGATAGACTCTTTCATTTACTTTATTCTGGGCTGGTACATTAGGAACGTTTTCCCAGGTAATAAAGCAAAATATTACATTCTACTGCTATACAGTGTCTCTTGAAAATAATAAATTAACGTTGGCTAATTCACGTGTTCAAGTATCTGCACACAGAGGCTAAGTACAGACATTCAAAAAGCCCAAGGTGGAATTGATCCAATCTATGCAGGTTTATCTAAGCTGCACAGATTGGATTGGGAGTGCACAGCAGTCACGTTTGCCCTTCAGTGGGGTGAGATAGGCAGATGCCTGCAGTGGCCAAGGCCAGAAGGCTGAGGGTGCCAGACATTGCTGAGGATAGCCAACTGGGAGCCATCCGTCACTGACTGTCAGGCAGCTGCCTCCCCTTCTGCCTTGCCATCCGTCAAGCAGGTGTCGGCTGCAGGCAGGCAGCCAGCAGAGGGAGCTGTGCTCATCCCTGCTTGGTGGCATGGGGGTCTTTGGGCTTTGTCTGAGGTGGGAGGTGCAGGGATTTACCCCAGGAAGCACAAAGGCAGTAGGACCACAGCTTATACTTGGGGGCTTGTGAGCTGCTGGGTGGGGGAGGTGGAGCCAGTAGTGCATCCTGCATTCCCAGCCAGGTCAGTGGGACACAGGGGCACAGTGTCCCTCCCCTGTCCTAAGCCCTGGGACCATGCACTGAAGTGGCTCTAGGAAGGGCTCAGAGGATTTCTCCCTATCCCTGCCCCCTCCCTCAAGCCAGCCCTGGGTTCCTGACTGAAGCTGTTTCCTTCCATGCAGCCATGGGGCTGCAATCCCTGGGGATGGGGGGCAATCATGCCCTTGCAGCTGCAGTGCCTGGCTTGGCTCAGGCGGGTCCATTTTCCAGGGGTGGGGAAGGGGACCTGCTGCCCGTGCCCCCCATCTTGATGCTAGACTTGCCCCCCCCTGCCAGATATTCCAGCCACAAAGGCATGGCTGTCCCTCCCCTGCCCAGGGACCAGAGCCCCACAGCTGCACAGAAGGATGTCGCTTCAGCCAGGAACTCAGCACTGGCTGGGGGGGTTGGGGGGAATTCTCTGGGCCCTTCCTGGAGCCTCTCCAGCACATGATCCCGGGGCTTGGGACAGGGAAGGGAGACTCTGTGACTCACAGACTGGGTTGGGAATGTGAAGTGCACTGCTAGCACCCCCATCCCCCCCATAGCAGCTCACAAGCCCCCCATCCTGCCTGCAGCTGATAGACAGAGACCTCGAGGGCAGGGCCAGCTAGGCACTTGGCTGGAGCAAGTGAGCTGTGGCTCCCTGCAAGGGGAGCTAGTGGGAACATGCAAAGTCCCCTGGGACACCAGTAGACAGCAACCTACCTTGATTTGCAAGTGGTCCTGGCACTGATGTTCGATAGACTGGTATAACCTAGATTGAGTAAGTCTGATAGTACATCAATCCAGATCTTAGACCAGGATCCACCATTTTTAAAGCAGTCTATGTGCCTGCAACTTCTGTTCTGTTATTAATTTAAGACAGGTTTCTGACCACCTAAACTGGAAAAAGTGTAATGTCTGCACCTGGCCAGCGGTGCTGACATTACACTTGAATGAAAGGGGCATGATTTAATTTCATGTGATAAAGCGTATTATATTGGGGAATCTCACCAGATACTAAATGTGTTTACAGAGGAGTAAAGAAACTGAGGCACTGTCAGAGCTTGGAAAAAGCTAGGGGATCCTTGTCTATCATATGGCTGGATGAAATATGCTAGAGCAGTGGTGCTCAACCTTTTCCCCATTGGGCTGGATGGGGAATGCTTAGTCTGTCTGCTGGTCAGATCTGGGCACTAGTCCCTATCCAGTGCCTGGTGGGGTATATGGCCAGGCCCCATCCAGCTGTACAGGGGAGTGGGAAGCAGCCTGACCCAGCTCCTCAGAGTGGGGAGAGGATATGGCCCATCTCCCATCCAGCCTGGCCCCAATCCAGCCATATGGGGTTTGGAATTTGGGAATTTGGCAGCGAGGGAGTGTGGCAGTATTAATTACCATGACTCCACTGCCGCTAAATTTCCTGACCCATGGGGAGTCTCATGGACCAGATGCCATGGCTCCATGGGCCACATTTGGCCCACTGGAGTTTGAGCATCCCTATACTAGAGAGTAAGGAAAGCTGCATCCTTTCTCCCTAACTGGCAGAAGCAAGAGAAAAGCCTCTGAGGACCATAGCCAGCAGTTGAGTTGTTTTATTTGGATTTTCAACAGTAAATCCATATTCTTTGATTTCAGACAGTAAATCATGTTTTAAGTCAAGAGCTTTTTAAACATCTTGTGTATGACATTTGCTTTTCTTCCCTGGCTTTATGAAGCAGTCCACCAGCATACAGAAAACAATACCAGGCAGAAAAGTAAAGCAGTCATTCACTCTAAGCATGCAGTCATTCGGATTAATATATCAACTAATGCTTTATATTGCATAAATCAGAGAAAAATCCTATACCAAATACCAAAAGGACATGGGTGCCTCAGAAAATAGATCCCTTAAGGGTTTATCCTTGTCATTGATCACTGTGTAATCAAAGCTAATTCTTCCTGTGAAACAGTCACAAATATTGTAACTTGTTTCCTTTTTTTTTGGTTACAGGAAAATATGGCATGGCTGCCCCATGGTATTTCCCATTGCTTCCATCCTACTGGGATGAAGGCTATGGTAATGCATCACTGTGGAATGAGAAAAGGAAGGGCCTTTTTTTCACAAACTTCATATTCAGAAAAGAAGCAACAATCACCAATAAGACACGTATGTGAATAGAGCTGTATAAGGCCATTTGGATGGGTAACCAAGGGGTCCAGGCAACATTAGTGCAATGGACACACTTGAAAAGTTCATTCCTTTGTTTGCGTTCTTGCTGATTCCGGTGGTATCTGCATTTCCAATGTAGGGTGGTTTGGAAACCAGAATGGCCATTTTAAAGTGACTTTAGAGGGCTTTGGATCATGCCCAATGGCCCCATGCATACAACTTACCAAACCATAGTACTCTTAAAATCAATGGGACTCTTTGCACTGTGCTCTGCACTGTGCATTTCAAGTGTTCAGCTCCAAGAGCCAAGGCTTTATCTAAGACAAGTGTCAACATTTTCATCACTTTGTATCAGACATTATTTTAATCAGTCTCTTTCAGGAGGGCCTAAGAAGAGAACCAGGCGTCAGGGTCTGCTGAGATTTGATCCTAGCTCTGACACTGAGTGTGTCTCCAGTTCTGAGCAATTCAATTCACTTTATTTATCTTGGATTCCTTAGGCATAAAGTGGGGTCGATACTGTAGTATTTATCTGCACATCTCACAGGAGTGCTGTAGGGACTAATTGATTTGTTAATATTGGCATAATGTGTTTCATGTTCAAAAAGGCTTAAACTTTGAGATAATGCTTTGTTATGATAGCAACGCAGTCAGGAAGAATAAAATGATAAGAATAATACAGACAGTTAAAATTAATGTCACTAATAGAGCTGTCCTTTGGGGGGGGTGAATTGGCGTGACTGCCCCAGGCCCCGTGCTTTGGGGGACCCCGCAGACAGTGCTATACAGGCCCCATGGACAGTGCCATTGGTATGTGCTGAGGGTGCCACTACTCCATGCAGCTGCCACGCACCACCAGCTTCGTGCTCCAGCTGCTCGCCACTCCCTTCACGCTCCAGCCACTCGCCCCCCCGCCCCCTCCACATAGGGCCCACACAGGCAGATACGCCTCGGGCCCTGCACACCCCTAGGGTCGGCTCTGCTACTACTACTGCTAGCGCAACTACTGAGAATACTTTTTATATAATACTGTTTTGAGGTCCCAGCTGAAACTCGGGCCATATCGCAGTAGTGTAAGAATGCAGCCAGCTGCTTGGAGTGGCTGCTGCACCCAGGAGCAGCGGTAACTTCTGATTGTGATTTGCAATCATGTGGCTGCAACAAAAACTGTTTTCTTCACCCTCTGTCCCTATTGGAACCTGGGGCAGTTGCTCCAGGCTAACCACTGCCATATTGTGCTAAGTGCTAACAAACACATTGTGAGAGAAAAATCCTTGTTAAGATGAAGAGGTGGAAATAGTAGCGCAGACAGGTGAAATGTCCTGTGCAATATTTTACATTGGTCAGTGATAAGGCCATTAACTGAGCCCATGTGTTTCAGTTCCAGTGACTGCATCTACATGAGTTGTCACTGCACAGTCATTTAGTACTTGCATATCTATGTACTAAAAGACTGCACAGGAACTGGTGTTACTGCTCAGTAGCATCTCCACATGGCTTCCTGGTGACACTGATTGTACAGTAGCTCATTACTACTGCGCAGTAACTCATTACTGCACGAGGTTCATGCCTCATAATGCTACCGTGCAGTACTAAACAGCTACGGCATGGTAAGTGTCTTGTGTAGATGCAGCCAGTGACATGTCCTATCTAGTAAGTCCTACCCCAAATTGAAATCTGTTTGTTTAATATATTGTATTAGAACCTGTAGAATGTACAGACATAGGGCCACTCACAGGGTGAATAATTATTGCTGCTAAGTGTTCTTATAAGTGGTAAAATTTAGAGGAAGAAATATTGGAGAGTTCAGAAATTACACAAGTACCAGGAAGTGTTCCTAAGTTTTATCTGAAAAGCATATAATTTACTGTCTTTTTCCTGTTCTAGATGAAAAAAGTCTATAACTACCTACTTAAATGAATAACATGTCTCCCCTGATCCTTCTTTAGATGCTAATGGTACCCTCCCTCCTAACCTTGAACCTGAACCTACTGATCTCACCCTGGGAGTTTCTCTTCATGGAATAACAAAGACTTATGGCTCCAAAGCTGCAGTGGAAAACCTCAACCTGAACTTCTATGAAGGCAACATCACATCTTTGCTGGGGCATAATGGAGCTGGAAAGACTACCACCATGTAGGCTTCTTTTGAAGTGGGGTTATTTGATTCCACCAGATAGGGCAGATTAGCAAGCAAAGATGAATGAAAAGACATATGACAGTATCATAAGGCTGAATAAAATGCTTTCTGGGTTTATGCTTTTGTAGTTATGCTATGTACCTTAGTCTTTGTGTATCTCAGCAGTCATCAGACCCCTTATATATAAGGGTGACTTTCTGCTTTGGTGTCTGATAGTACTAAATAAGAAGACTTTAAGAGTGAAAGAGATTTCTTCTGCTACCAAAAAACAGCATTAAGGTCACAATAATCATTGGATGCTTTCTACTCTAGTGGCATTCCTATAATCTTGCATAGCCTAGTAGTGGCTGTAACATCTATTCCATGCCCATAGCGGCTTGCACCTGAAAACAGTGAGTAATTGGCACATACTCCAAGTTGCAGCAATTTTAGAAAGACTATTGACTTCCCATTCAGCTGAAAGCCTAGTGAGTTTGCTGAGCTGGAATGTGTAATAGATTAATCCACTGGCCTTTCAGCTCTTCCAGGTATGCAGTTCTTTTGTTAGAAGTTTTAAATAAAGAATACAGACAGACAGGCAGGACTTAGTTCTCTGGTCCCCTCCATGCCCATGCTCTGCTCAGCACTGTGATATAGCATCTTGTCATTACTTATTGATCGGCTCCAATTCTGAATATTGATCTGTGCATAACCCTGGCATGCATTAAAGCAGCAAGGGGATTTAGGGCCAGCAGGACAGGAGTTTGCCACAGCCATATGGCTATTGACAAGCTTCCCTGACTTGTCTCTCTGTGCTGGGTTAGGATAAGGGCCTGGCTGGTATAGGAACCAGCTCCAGGAGTCACACAGGCTGTCTGTGGTGGGCTATATTAAACCTAGAGTTCTTCACTGCAGCCTTATCCTCTGTAGGATTCTATTTTGTAATCTTAACCACAGGACCATCCTTCCTCCTGTGCACGGTGCCCCAATAATGTAGCTGTACACTTTAACTGAAGGAGAGTACAAATGAAGTCTACAGCTGAAACCCTAGGAATGATAAATATGTGTATATTACTCTGAAAGCACATTATGCTGATAAATACATACACCAAAACACCACAGAGATAGGGAGACATTACTTCTCAGCACATTGCAGATGCATTTGCATTCTCTAAGAACAGCACAGACAGAGACAATTTAAGAGAAAGAGTAATGACTTCCTAGAACATGGCAATGGGTTTAAATTCTGATTGGGGTCTCCTGTTCCTTCTCTTTTCTATTTGAATGATTTTCAACAGGGTTAAGCACCCTGGGAGAATGAAGAGTTCAAGGGCAGGCTTTAACAGCATGCTTTAACAACCTGGGAAGTTTGAGGGGTAGTTTGAGAAATATATTTTCTCTTTAAACCCTGAATCTCTAAAAATGACCTGCATTGTACATGTAGTCATTTTGGGTAGAAAGTACCTGACCTGATTCCATTAGGTATTGTTAGGTAGCTAATTATTAACTAACAATGTTTTTTTCACTTTGGGAGGTGCTTGCCATACATATCTTGTCTGGAAAACTGTCTCTCCTTCTTGCTCAGTAGTGCTGTGCTCAATAAATTCTACTTGTCAAAGCTGATACAGTTACTGCCAGTATAAAGATCACTAGATTGCACTTCTAAAAGTGCAGCTGACCCTGTCTCATTTGCTGCTTGTCCCTCATATTCACATAATAGATAACTATATGACTGATTAAGCCACTGTCCAGTAGCATACCACAACTCCCTTCCCCCAATCCTGGCAACCTTATCAGCTGCCCAATTTTTCCATACAATGGCCTTAAATTTAGAGTAATTTGCACAATGTGATTTGTTGATAACTACATAGAAGCTTATTTAAGCTTGGGATAAACCCAGTGGTCTGATGGCAAGACAACATCCTCTGGATCCAAAACTGGAGCTTGGCCCTTCAGTTCTAAACCAGCAGATATAGAGTAATCTAGCAACTACTGTTCAGAAGAACAGAGTTGACAGGTGCGAGGAAGCTGTGTCTTGTTCTTTATAGCTACAAGATGTATTGCCATGACATGGAGTCTTTGTGGATAGTGATGGGCAAAGGATAAAAAAAAAGAGGAGGGGGGAAGTGGGAAATCTGTGGGTTCCTTCTCTTTGCCTTCCAGCATTGGTCATTTATCTCCTTTGCTCTTTTATTCCAGATCTATTTTGACTGGGCTGTTCCCTGCTTCATCAGGTACCATTTATGTTTATGGCAAAGATATCAGAACGGATCAAAATATCATCAGGAAGAACATGGGCATCTGTATGCAGCATAATGTGTTATTTAGTTATCTCACCACCAAGGAGCACCTGCTGCTTTATAGTTATATCAAAGTCCCGCACTGGAGTAAGCAGAAGCTTCAGGATGAAGTGCAAAGGTACATGAAAGGGAGAGAGAGCTGACAACTGGCTTGATGTTTTGGGCACAGTGTCCTCCAGTGTCATTTTTTAGTGATGGTAATTGCTGCAAAACTTGGCCACAAGTTACTGGAGTCTGTTTAATGCAAGAAGTCAGGCAGAATGGTTTTATTCTTCTCCTCCAGCCTTAAAAAAATCTATGGATCTATGAAAACATAGTCCCTTCCCCCAAGGAATTTGCTACCCACTGTAAGTATTTTTAATACATAAAGATTATGGGTGAGATTCAACAGTAAGTTCCACCTATCTTGGCCCTTTCTAGAGAAAGTTTCACTGGCTGGTTTACACGGGTTGAATTTGCTTGTCATCAAAGAGTGCAAATCAGAAGGGGGGGACCAGTGAATCTGGCCCTGCATTCTCAAATGACAAGATCAAGCCCTTAAGCTTGATATGCAAACTAAAATTTTTTAAACAACCTAAAAAAAAATCCCCCGTGTCTGAGCTGCATGTTGAACCATCATCTTCATTATGACAATTCAGCAGAGCAGTCCATGCCTGAGCAGTTTTTCATTTGCATTAATGTTGCTGGGTGTATTCAAATTCCCTGCCTTTAACTAAATAGCTGAACTGCAAACTTTTGTGTTTTTTTTCTTTTTTGAAGGACATTGAAGGAGACTGGGTTGTATAGCCATCGTCACAAGCTAGCTGGCTCATTGTCTGGAGGGATGAAAAGGAAGTTGTCTATATCAATAGCTTTTCTCGGTGGATCAAGAGTTGTAATCTTAGATGAACCCACCACTGGTGTGGATCCATGCTCTCGGAGGTGTATTTGGGAGATTATATCCAGAAATAAAAAAGGTACTGCAAAGAGACAAGGCATAAAATTTCTAGGAGCTAAGTGTTGAAGGCTTCCAGATGATTAAGTCACTTTTGAAATGTAATTTTGGCTCCTAAGTCAGAGACTTTTGAAAATTGTACCTGAGACTCAACTGTGAAGACCCAGCAACAAAGCAACATTTAGAATAAGCACCGAGAATAAAGGTTGCTCTTGAAACAAGATGGAAGGATGTGCATTGGTTGAGGCCAGCTTTTTTGGTCTTAGGAATATGATTCTTGCTTCAGGTATAAGTGATCTGGAGTTAATATCCTGGAAGCATCCTGATGTCTTTGGAAAGAGAAAGATATCAATTGTGCTTTTTTTTTTTTTTTTGGAATTTTTTTTTTTTTAGTGCAGGTTATTTTAAATGTTTTTCTGGGACAGTTTAGACAGGAATAGTCCTGTCTTGAGCAGGGGGACTGGAGTCTTTCCAGTAACTTTAATGGGCTTTGGAACTGGCCCCAGGCTCTGAAAATGACTTGCAGAATATGTGCAAGTAATTTAATATTGCAGGAGCATTTTTCTCAAAGCCTTCCTTTATTTAGCAACTTCATAAAAGAGGCCAGATTAAGCCCTCACAACTCATGACCTGACTTTGGCCAGATCTACTGCCAAATAAGTGATCTGAGCCCTGAGGCAAGAATTTTTGTCAGTAGCCCACAAAGTAAATGTAGCTCTCTTCCTGGGGTAACATAGGAGACATAAGCTGGAGCACCCCATAAACTGTAGCTAGTGGAAGATCCATTGATAACAACCCTTTCCTTCCCATCCCCCCGTCCCTCCCTGCCCACACACATATTCCACATGCACTGTGGGATATGTGGGCCACAAGTTACTTGATTTGATAAGGCACAAAGATGTTGCAGGCTGTGCATGGGTTTTGGAAACCTTCCTCTGACTGTATTGTGAAAGTCTGCCACAATCCTAAGGATGGTTCCTTCCTAACATTGCTCTCAGTCACCTTCACTATGATTTCTAAGCATTCAATTTTTACAGCTGATCTTTTTGAAAATCTTCATGTACTCTGTCCTGTGCCTGATATATTTGCTTTACCTTCATGCCCCTTGTTTTAGGCCGCACCACTATTCTCTCTACCCATCACTTGGATGAAGCAGAAGTTCTGAGTGACCGAATTGCATTTCTGGAGGAGGGAGGCCTCAAGTGCTGTGGGTCTCCTTTCTACCTGAAAGAAACATTTGGTGATGGATACCATCTGATTCTCACTAAAAAGAAGGTTTGTAACTGTATTAGGGAATCCTAGACTCAAATGATTTAGACTCAAATGTCCAAATGTGACTAAAGTTTTTTCAGTGCCAAACTCTGAAAGAGCCTAAATTCAAATGCATGAGATGACAGGGAAGAGACAAAATATGGCACCCCATAAAAAAGAGTACATTGTACATAAATGTCTAGGTTTTTGTTTACACAGTGGAGACTGTGATAGTTATTCTAGTTAATTTAGCTATTCTGGAATAACTCTTCTTTATTCCAGAGCTGTCCATCCTAGGCTTCCTCACTCTACCCTCTCTACTTGTGTTGAAGGCTAAGCCATTAAACAGGTAGGACCTCTGGGACCCATTTTAGTGGATTATATCATGAGCCCAATTTCTGCTAGTACATAAAGGGTACTGGGAACAGATAGAAAATGTATTGTTGAGTAATGAAAGGAGCTCCTCCCGAAGCCCCCATTCTACTGGGAATGCAACCAAATCCTTAAGGTTCTTCAGTGTTGCTCCATTTGGTGTTACAACACCTAATCCCTAATATGCAAGTTTCCTTCATCCCAGGTGAGGATACAAAGCAGCAGGCCACAAACACACACACGTCTACCTTCTCAGGATCCTTTGCTGTATTTTGTCTTTCCTGTGCTTGTCGAATCTGTCAGGCTGTACTGACAAGCTGGACAGGCTAACATCTAGTTTGAAACTCCTGCTTCAGGTACTTCAGCTTGAACTAGGGGTTAAAACAGTTGGCTCTTGGTGGGGACAGCATGAGGGCTTCAGATTGCTTGCTTTGTGCATGATAACCAGAAGAAACATAAATGCCCATGGGTTTAAATGGGAGCCACGCAGCATTGCCAGGTCTTAAATATGAAATTATCTTATTGGAAGCTCAACATTGTCATATTTGCTGAAAAAATATGGTACACTGAAAAATATGCAAGTAAGCATGCAAATAAGTCATCTTCTTATTTACTTTGTATTGCTCACTATGGGCATTTTTACATGTGCTCCAACGCAGCACCAGGCACTTTTAACTAGCAAGCCATGCTAATTAAAAGTGCTTGGCATTGGGTCAGGATCAGCCATGCAGCATGCATCAGCACTGAGAAAATGGCAGCAGTGCGCTTTGAACTAAAGCATATCAAATGTGTTTTAGTTCAAAGGGCACCGCCGCCATTTTCTCAGCGCCAAACCCGAGCTGTGCCACTGATACACATGATGCACGAGGCTGCCAGTGTCTGTCAATTTATGTGGTTGAGCAGGCTCAATTAATTGAGTCTGCTCACACGTGCTGGATTTCCAGTGTGTCAGAGCAGACTCCCCACGTGTGTAAGTGCCAGTGAGGGAGTGAGAACTGGGTCATCAAAGTTGAAGTGTTCCTTTATTTTGAGGCAAGCAGTCATAAGAAAGTGCTGATAGCAAACCTAAAAGTCAGTTAAGACTCCTTGAGATTGACTTGGGTATTGCATATGCTGTATCAGTTAGCTGCCTCAAAAATTATTGTACATTTTGAACACTTTTACTATTATTGATTGTGCATTGTACAAGGGTTGAAATTATCATACAAATATGATAATTATTGTATACCTGGAAACACTGAAGCCAAGCAACAGGTTTGAGGAAGTCAGTGGTTTCTGAATGGTGGACTTCAGTGCCTAGAGAAGAAGATGGATGCCTAAGGATGTGGGATGAACTGCATTGCTGTCTCAGAAAGGGAGACACTAGGAAGATGTATCAGTCTTGAGATCCCCTCAGAGCAGAGTTGAACACTTTTAACTAGGCCATTGAACTGGCTGGAACATAAAAGCATTTCTATGTTAGAAAGGGATAGAGTATCCCTGAAGGCTAAAGCAAAGCCATATATAGAATTTGAAGTTAGTTCTTCAAAGAAATAACCAGACAAGGAGAATCCACAGGGAATGTCTTGCCTGAAGCAAAGTATTATGCTGCCAGAGAGAGGAAGGTCCCTGCTGTTGTTATTAGGGCAGCACTAGAAGCCCTATGTTGCAGGGTTTTGTGCAGATGTATAGTGAGAGAGAGTCCCTGTTCCAAAGAGCTTACAGTCTATATAGAAAAGGCAGGCAAAGAAAGTATTGTAATCCCTGTTTTACAGATTACAATATGAGGAACAGAGACAGAGAAGCTAAGGCTCATATCAACAAAGGTATTTAGTGCCTTACTCCTCCCAGTTGCCTCAACTGGATTGAGGCACCCTTCCCCAGAAACCACCAGGGCATCAGTAACAGGGCTCAGAGTAGAACCTGGATCTAGGTTCCAATGTAATGATCTAGTCAGGTATCCTTTTCCATCTCCCTTTGATAATGAAGATGGAGTCCTATAGGTCTTGAACACTATAGGTCACCTAGTGCTGACATTAATTTGTGGATGAGAAGGTCACCTCCCAGGCTGATATCTGAACTGTAGGTGATTTTCTCGGTTTTCAGAACATGACAGAAGAGTGTGACACCTCAGCAGTGACCTCCATGATCAAGTCACACCTCCCAGAAGCTTATCTTAAGCAGGATATTGGTGGAGAGCTAAAGTACGTGCTTCCCCCATACAACTCCAGAGTCTCTGGAGCATATCAGTCTCTCCTCAAAGCCCTTGATACCAGCTTGAATGATCTCCATATTGGCTGCTATGGGATTTCAGACACCACCATGGAAGAGGTACATGTCAAAATATATTGTTATGCTACGCTATAAATGCTATGAAGATGAACTTCACAAAAGATCTGTAATTCAGATTCAGGGTCCAAACAGTGACATGCTTTAAGTCTGAAGGGGTTGTCATTTTTTTGGTTTTGGTGAGTTGAATGGATATTTTTTTACCAGGCTTTTGTATTTTGTTGAAGTCGTGTGTTCTTCTAAAGCCCAAGATGGAGTACGCTCTCTCTCCACAAAGAATATCAGCTCACTAAGGATTTTTCAGTGCCTTCTCAAGAACGGGACACACCATGATTAGACTACAAGAAAGAAGGAATAGTAGCATACTACTTAAATTTACTTTGCAGTGCTGACGAATATGAATAGGTCTGCTGAAAGAATCAGCTGGGAGAAGAAGCCTAACAATGTTGCCATGTAACGTGTCGTCGTTAAGCTCCAGAGTGAACACCTCATTAGTTTAAATGGAACAATTCAGACTACTCAGAGCAGCTTCTGTCTGTCTGAACTCTCAGGTAGAGAAGGTTGCATCTAGCCACATTTGGGAGCTTTTCTTTATTCATATCTGTGATTTAAGTGAAAAAATAAATTATTGAGAGTGATGGGGCTGACAGAAAACTGTTTCCAGTACTCCGTCTCTGATCCTTGGATTCTCTGTAGAGACTTAGGTGACACCCCTGCAAGTGCACTTTTTCTTTCACAGCTGAGCTGGCTGTAAAGTTGATAATCTCCAGTCACTTATTATGAAGATTTATTTATCAGCATTCAGGTCATTACCCCTGAACAAACACAACCATTCACTAAACAAAACTAAGACAAAGAGTATTTAAAAAAAAAAAAAGATAGATTATCCCTGTTTGACTTGGCAGAGGTGCAAGGGAGAATAAAGGACCTCATTAAGCCTCTGCTTAGAACTCTCTGACCACTTGGATTTTGTCTTTGTTGCAAAGTGAATTTATGTTATAACATTATTGTTGCTCCTAATTTGAGCCCCATTCACCTACTTTAACCTTTACACACATGTTACAGTGCATTTTAACACACATTTGCTGGTCCAAGAGTGAAGAAAAATGGTATTCTTAATCCAAATAAATTACGTTGAGGCAAAATCTTAATGAAGACAAAACAGTTTAAAGTTTTCATAAAATAGAATATGAGATTAAAAACTAGATTCCTCAATAATTTTAATTTGAACAACTAATTTGTGAAAAAGCTCTACATTCTGTTGTCATCATTAGGGTTCTATGTTGAGTTACTTAGCTTAAGAACAGACTTTTCTCCTCCTACTGAAGGTAGTACTAGAAGGGAAAATATAGATGAAAAATGTGAATGAGCACAACTTTTCTGCTGTAGATATGAGTGGTGATTCTGGCGAGTGATACTCAAATGCTACTAGTCCTCCAGTGCCTTCCCACAGATTCCCCTCTGTTGTTCATGTAAGATTTCCCACAGTTTACTGAGAAGAAATTGAGAGCTTTTTGAGGTGTGTTCCCAATAAATTTGGGATGTGGTCTAGAAACCTTAGCACCAGATGGTCACTCATAATGGTGACCATCCCAGACCATGCCAATGCAGGCAGTCAAACCACAGCCTCTTTTGCCCAAGCTAGACTAACTTGAGAAAAAATATCTCAAAGTAAGATAATTCAAGTTCACTCTTCAAGTAAGGCAGATCCCGAGGGGACAGGAAAGGCTAACTTCTTGATGCTCTTCACTACATGGGTTGAGAAGAAGTCCATCCCATTCCAACTTACTAGCCAGAGGTTCAGAGCTGGGTGCTTTCTGGGAAGGAAGTTGTTAATTTATACTTTGTCCAGAATAAAGCAGGATCAGGGAGAAAATTGTAATCTGGAGAAGCATCATCAAGTCATAACTCAATTACAAGAATATATGTTGGTAGTTACTGTGGAATTTAGCTGTAATGATTGAAGCTGGAATATTATTCTCTTCCTTTCTTGTTCAATAGGTATTTCTTAACCTGACTCAAGACCTAGAGAAAGATCAACAAGATGACAATAAGTTGCCCCAAGTGGTGCCCGAACCCAATGGTTTAATGAACAGTGATGAGATGTCTTTGAACAGTCACAGCTTCACTGACAAAGATGGTATTAATTTAATCCTAACTTTTATTCCACATTTATATCAAATTTAAGAAGTGACACACAGGCTGGCTGGGAACATATTGCACATTACCCCTTTTCTTTGGTTAACTGGAGATCAAACTTTGGCCAACTAACAATTATCTATCGAGTAAAAATACAGCTTTACCGTAACACTAGTTTCTAATAGTCTGAATCACAAAGTAATTTATGGAAGGGGATTTTTGAAGCCAGCTCCCACTAGATAAATATATCCTTTTAATTTAATCAAATGCAACTCTTTGGCAAAAGAACAAGGTATACATCTGAATGTAATCACAACTAATGCGCCAGATTGACTTATCAACGTTAGCACAATATGAAAGAGAATATATGGAACATCCTTTTGCACAATATGAAAGAGAATATATGTAACACCCTTTAATTTTGTGCCAAACTAACACAGCTAGAAGAGAGCAGGCTGGATGCTTTTCCCTTGTGGTGAATCACCAACAGAATTGTTTGCTAAATTCCAGTCATTTAAAGATCTGCAAACTCATTGTGGACTAGATACAGTAAAGGTGTAACCTGTCAGTGAAAACTTGATTTGGCCTTCAGGGTTTTTTGTTATGGGCAATGAGTAATAAAAAATGAAGGCCCCAGATTTGAGCAAAGGCATCCTTTTACATGTGAACAAACCCCGTAAAACAAGGAAGGAACTAAGCAAATGATACCCTTGGACTCCCACAATATTTTCATGCTTGCTTTTCAGAGCAGACCTATGCTTTAACAGTGAAACATTATAAACAGTAACTCAAAGTGTTTAGGGAAGTGTTTTATGTCATCCCTAATGAAACTGCTGAAAATGATTTGCTTGGCTCTGTCTTATACATGTGAGAGATAATATTTCATTCATTTCAAAAGAGTCTCTGCTGGACCAGATAAAGAGGAATATCTTGTACAAGGATTTGTTCAGCGTTTAACCAACAGCAGCTTTTTCAGTGCAAATTATCAATTAGTTTCTATAACAGTTCATATGCCTTGTTTTTTCATTACGTGACTTTTATTATTGAGCTGTGTCTGAGGAGCTAGTTTTTAAATGGTGAAAATTTCAAGCTTGCAAATTTGAACAGTTGTAAGTTTCCTATCTAAGCTGCATGTATAAATGTAAGGGACTTGCTTTTTTGCCTCTGATAGGAGAGCTCTTTTCCTCTGGCATGAAATGTAACTGTAAATGTTACACATGAGCACATATGCATGCTCCTCTGACATGCAGTTGAAATGTAAATATTACATGCATGCACGCTCACGCATACGCGCACACACACAACTGGGGGCCAGGGAAAGGCTGAGTTCTAATCCCAGCTCTGACACTGTATCTTCTGGTAAGCCACTTAACCTCATAGCTTGATTTTCTGTTCGTAAATGGGAGTGATAAGATATTCTTATCTCACAATCAGTTTCCAACTCTCTACAACATTAATCAAGAGAAGGTGCTGAGTGTGATTCCATTTCTCGTGTCAGACCAATCCTTGCTTAGACCAAGAAAGCTGAAGAAATGGCCGTTGCTGCTCAAGAGAGCAAATGCCGTGTTCATCAAGAGGTTCCACCATACCCGACGTAATGTGAAAGGCTTTATTGCTCAGGTCATCTTACCAGTACTCTTTGTGGCAACAGCTATGGGGCTTGGTACACTGAGAACAAAGGAGGCTGAATATCCAGACCTCCTCCTTTCTCCCTCCATGTATGGGTTCTCTGACCAGGTTGATTTCTTTGGGTGAGTATCACTTTTTTTTTTTTTTTTTTAAATCATTCAATTTATATTTTTCCTAAACACACTGGGTGGGGGATTGAGCCAGAGCTAATTCCTTTGGTGAGGTAATAGGAGCCATATATTCCATAGACACTACCATCTATTTCGGTTAGCAAGTGGAATGTTTCATGCACACATTGCCTGATAGTTGGGTTTGGAGGGGAGTTGGTAGAGGAGAGAATGGGAAGTCTGTATATATCCTAAATATACTCTCTGACATCACAGTAGATGGCTCTTATTTGAAGCAAAATTTAAAGTGGCCTCAAGCTTAAATGAGATCCACTTGAGCCTTAATTCAGCAAAGCCCTGGAGCATGGGTGTCATGCTAACTATACATGTAGTCTCATTAACCAATGGAACTGTCCTCATGCTTCTAATTATGCATGAGGTTATATGCTTTGCAGGACCAGGGACCAAAACGATCATTTATTTAGCTCCATTATTTAATTCAGCCAACAAATTTTCACAGCTTGGCCCATAATGAAACTATCTTGAACAGTTCTTTTTTTTCTTTGTTAAATCTTAGGAACTTTAATGAAACCACAGATGCTTTAGTCGCTTCAATGCTTTCTTTCCCTGGAACAGATAACACATGCATGAATGAAAGTAATTCGTAAGTAGTTCTTCATCTCCTCCTTTTAAAATTCCTAATCTGCAAAAGGAAATGACATAAAATTAATAGCCGTCAGATTTTAATAACAGCCTTTGATCATCTGCAAAGTTTTCAGACCCCAGTGCCACATCAGAAAAGCTTAATCTATTGCCTGAGTTCCTGAAAATAGATTTGCATCATCATGTAGAAGAGTTTTGAAACAATCTGATTTTCAAACTACAGTACTTACATTTATTAGGCAAACTGAACCAAACTTTCAGGACTCAGTTATGCAGCCCACACTCTCAGTGGTGAACTCTTAGTCATAGGAGTAAGTCATTTGACTTCATTGGGTATATGCTTTAAAATACTTGTCACAATGAGTAAGGGTTGCAGAGTGGTAAATATGACTGACAGGAACTGCTTTGGAGATAAAAATAATGAGGCTACACTGTAATATTCTTACCCATGTTGAGTGCTACTTTACTTTTCCAAAAAGTCCTATTTATACCAATAAGACTATCTTCAGAATAAGGGGCTACTCAACATAAAGGCTGACAGTCTAGCTGAATAATTCTCAACCACACTACTGTGAGATGCTTTTAAGAGTGCAACGCAACAATAGCATTGTTAGGTATGCAAACACCTACACATAATTTATGACATAACGCCAGAGATTTCAAATAGGAACCCATAGTGTCAAAAAAACTCTGACTTGCTTTGATCTGTCTGAATTCTTTATAATAGAAGAATTGCTCTATTATTTTTCTGAAGTCAGAAGACAAAGGAGATTGATTTGTGAAATGGAATACTACTAAATTCACAAAAGTAATGGAGGGGTGCCTTGAGTCTAAAATAGTTGAGAACCACTGGCCTTGCCCCTATGGCTATGATCCAAGTTAGAAAGCTTTCTTGTCCTTCAGTTGAGCTGACAGAGAAGTAGGTTAACTTGGTTTTTACAGATGAATTATGAAAGGGTCCATATTAACTGCCAAATATTCCCTGAGGGAATTAATACAGTGCAGGGAAATATTTGTGGTGATCTGCAGTTTGTTACTATCACATGGGTCTCCAGTGCAACACCTCTAGCAGAGGGGGATGTCATTTATTTGTAATCTTATTTTGGCCTTTTCATCTTAAACTTTTTAGGCTTTTGGCTTTGGGGTTTTGAAGCAGGCTTAATAGTCTCCTCCCAATCAGCATAACAGTGACCACCAAAATCATGTCTATAGAACCAAAGCTAAAACTGCTATGCATTCAGAACTGCTGAACAACTACAGTCCCAATTGAATTCAGTGGGAATTGTGGGCTGCCCAGCACCTCTGAGGACACACCCTGGCCCACTGTACAGGCTGGTCCTCTCCAAAGGGCTGTATATATTCTGTCACCCTTGCTCTATTACAGGGACCTCTGTCATTGCATAATTAGATACTATTTGCATGTCTATACATTGGAAATTTCAGGAAAATAATGTGCTTGTTTTCAGGTGTTTAAAAGAAGATATGCTTGGCCAGTGGGTATTCAGTGGAAACCAGAGCACTAAATATTCTGCCTGCAACTGCACAGGCAGCCACCAGGTAAAGCTAAATTAATACTTAATGAGAGAGTGAATTTGAAATCCTTGAGAGGTACCTGGTGTACAAATTATCTCATAGTTCAGACGTCAGGTATTGCAAATGGGAACTCACTGGTTCAGCTCCATCCCAAACCATGGTGAAAATTGTTATCAAGTGGCTGTTTGATGTACTAGACATTGCATATACTCATAAGGAAAAATATCTCTGGACTAAAGAGATTATAACCCAAGGTGCAGATCTTACAAACCTTTACATGAGTGTTTAATTTTACTGCTGTAACTCAGGACCCTTGAGGCTCATCAGACTATTATCAAATCCCTCCACTTTTGACCCTCCAGCCCAAATTATTAGGTATCCATTTATAGCCGGGTCAACTAGGAGAGGCCTTTGGCCCAAGTTTGGAGTGTAGCTTGTATTCATGCCTCTGGAGGCATAGTGCAATGCTTAACCACTCTGCCCCTGTGCTCCACACTACTATGAATAACCCCACTGAAATCAATGGAAATGTCTGCAGGACTGGGGCTTAAGTAGACCAGGCAGACAAAGTGGGAGGAAAAAAGAAGCAGAGAAAGGTGGCACAACTTCTTCATGGTCACTTAGTCAATCTCCAGCAGGTCAATGGCAGAACCAAGCCTACATCCCAGTTGTGCAGTGACTGATACTGCCTCCCAAGATAGTACTATTGCAGTTACCACTAATTGGCATCTCTGTAGCAAGTCTCAGCAAAGAGGTCATGGACTGAATAGTCTCAGAGGGTAAATTAACTTCTCGGGGGAGGCCCTCAGCTAGTAAACTGGAGTAGCTATGTTAATTTGCATCAGTTTTATATCTTACACTTTATCTCTAGAAGTTCCCCCTTCAGATCCTGGGAAGATATATGTTGTTAAGTAGCAGTGATGCAGAACCTATTGCTGGCACTAAACATGATGTACTTGATCTGTAGGTATACAGAGAGCTTCCTTCTCCAGGACTGTCACTTTAGCACCCTTTGACAAGCAGTAATTTTACTTTAGCAGAGAGGAGGGAATACTGTGCTCTGAGGGAGATTCACACAGTAATTTCTCTGCCTTCTGTACTTACCTACCCTCAGTGGAAAAGGTTTTAATGGTGTTTTTCAGTGTTGCATGATTGTCCCATTTAACAGAAGTGAGTATGTATTCAAGAGGAAAATTGCATTTTATAGTGTGCTATCTTTATGTGGAAGTGCCCTATTATCACCATTTGCCTTCAAAGATTTAAGTGAGTGAAGAAGTCTGGGTCCATCTGCTTTTACGCTCTTTGTATAATAGATGATGATGATGTTTAATAAATAGTTATCACTTTGCACTGCATTGGCACTTACAGGCTCAGATCAGGACCTTATTGTGCTGGGCTCTGTATATACATGTCATGAGAAGGCAGACCCTGCTCCAAGGCAGACCCTTACAATCTCAGTGTAAGATGTCTGATGACACAGCCAATGTTGTTAAAAGTTACTTCTGCTTATCCCATTAGGAAACCTGGTCCAAAGCTGAAAATCTGCCTGTTTTGTGCAATTTGTTAGGAATATTGTTAATTTCAAATCATTGATTACTGTTTCAAATAGATCTGTAGCATGCGTGGCAATGATTTCCATTTGGCTGGCACAAAGCAGGTGTTTCTCAGCTGTCTTGCGTCCCCTGGTGAAAAGAAATAATCAGATATATTGTAGGGGAGGCATGCTCTTTTGTAATGTACTAGCAGAGGGGAGTAGCAGGTGTGCTGTTTGATGGGGAGGGCATGTCAACTTTAAGCAGTGTCCAGGGGCCTGATCCTGCATCCTCTGAAGTCAATGTAACTTTGACTCTCTCTTTGACTGATACAGTTTGTAAAACAACATGTTGTGTGCCTTCCAGCTGTCCTGTTTGGGCCAGGGCTGCTCAGGATTTCTCTGCACTCCTGGCAAAGCAGTAAAAAACACAGCACATTGCTGCTGTGAAGCTGCAGCAGTTCTTCTTTTTTATGGGTTGCTTTGCCTTGGCCAGGTTCTGGGTCAGAAAAAAGCAAGGCAGCATGAAGAGGCAAGATGCTGCTTCCATAGCCTCCCTGCTTGATACTAAGCTTGTGAATCTATGTTGAGATCAATTCCACCCTATCAGATCCCGTTATTGAACTGAAGAGGAGAGAAATGATGGATATAGGCACCCAGTAGGGGACTGTGGGGATATAGATTGCTGGAGGGACACGAGGAAATGGGAGCTTTTCCTAGGACTTCTGTCATTTCAGATGAAGAGCCAAACCCTGTAGGCATATGGGTGAATTACACTCATATTTAGCCCCTTATAGCTATGGTAGGCATTAATTGAGCAAATGTAGGTGATCACTCACCTTGAAACATGTGCCAAAGTTATTTTGATCTCAGCAGGACTTCAGCAGGTGCTTAGTTGAACCAAGACTTGAACTAGGGCATCTCCATAAGTTCGTTGCTGAATGGGGACCACAAGCATTAAAAACAACACATTGGAATGTATGCCCTAATGCTTCAGAGCTCTGAACCCAGATCCCCATTCTTTTGAAGCACCAGTCCTTGGACAGGAATATACCTTATTGACCCAAATCTAAGACAACTTTGAATTTAAGATGATCCTGCCAGAAATTAGGTCATCTTAAATTCAGCCTCCCACCCCTTGCTTGTACTTGTTCCTCCTCCTCCTCCTCCTCCCAGCCCATTGCCCCTGTGCCTGCCCATACCCCTGAAACTGATGCCTGTGCCTGGGAAGGCAATGGCAGAAAAGAGCAGTTGGGAGAAAGGGGCAGGGATTGGGGGGTGGGAGGGGATAGGCTGCAGGGGGCAGCATGAAGTCATGGAGGTAGGGGCTAAATGAACCCCTAAATGAGCTGTCCCTCACTAAATGAGCCATTCTAGCCTGGGGCAGGCAGCAGCTCTGACTTCACCTGCTTGCCCCAGGTTGGTGTTCAAATCTAAGACAAAGGCTCTCCTGCCCCACCCCCCCAACCTCCCTTGGGGAATAAACCTCATCTTGAACCAGAGTAAATATGGGAAGTCTTAAATGCTGTTCATTTGATTTATGATACTTGTGTTTTAGTTAAAGAAACAGTTTTAATTGTTTTCTTTCTTTCTTTCTTTTCCAGACATGCCCACAATTTGCCTTTTCCCCACCTCACCGAAGAACCTTCTCATCCAGGATGGTTTATAATCTTACTGGGCATGATGTGGAAACATACCTTTTAGAAACTGCCAGAGATTTTCTGCAGAAAAGGTACAACATAAATCCATTTGTCCCTCATTGTCTGTTTCATCATTAGTTACTGGCTTGTTAAGTGTTTAATTCTCTTTTAACAACCCAGCTATTTTAAATTTATTTTTCATATGCTCTCCTGCTGTAGATACAAGGTTATTTTAAAGCTGTATTGGAGGTACAGGGTTAATTGTAATGCCTGTTGGATGCACTCTAAGGCAGGCCTATTCCTGCACTCCAGTATGGCACTATGTAATGTTGGAGCTGAACCACCTGGTATGACGACAGTTGCATTTTTTTCAGAAAAATGTTGACCAATCGAAAAAATAAAACAAGGAAAAAAAGAAATTTGATAGCTTTCACAGTTAAACACACCTTGTACAGAGATTGTGCTCCTAAACTCTGATTCAACAAGGTGTTTAAGTGCATACTGCATTTTCAGAATGGGTTTGTGCCTTATTAATGTTACTTAAGCACATGCCTAAAGTGCTTTGTTAAATCAGGGCCTTCTAAGCCAGTTTCTTCACTATTAGGTACTCCTTCTTTATAAGAGAGGACTGTATATAAAGTGCTTTGACGCAAAAAATAAAAAGTACAGATAAATCAACTGTAAAAAATTAATTTCCTTACTGATTTGAGATGAATTCTTCATCTTTTGTGCAAATCTTACACAAACATAGAATTGTTCAGTGAAAGGAGTCAGAAAAACAACGCATTTCCTTTCAACTGCAATGTTTCCCGGAGTGGTATCTAGAGATTTCAACTTAGCTGCTTTGTTTTTGTCTTTCTTTTAAAAGTAAAGGCTCCTTCAGTAATGCTGACTGGACTACTCTATAAATGCTGAGCTAAATGCTCTTGTCATTTGTACTAACATAATGCCAGAGGCACTCCAGTGCTGGTGATTCTTTGCATTACAATAATGTTTAGAAGCCCTGGTGGAAATTGGCATCTCTTAATTGACTCCAGCGTAGCTAATGCGACTTTATACTAGCCCAGGGTCTAGCCTTGCACGTTTCTGATGATCGTGTGTCCCTCTTTTCCGTTCAGGTATGGTGGTTGGAGTTTTGGGCTGCCTTTGACTAGTGACCTCCAGTTTGATATCAGCCCAGTGCCGGCCAACAGAACACTCACTAAGGTAACTAGCATTGTGGCGGTAGGGTCATGCAAAACTGCCATAATGCGAATGCAAAGAAGGCGTCTTGCCTGATATGATCATCACTTAAAGAGGATGAAGCCAAGTTACCAACCTTGCATGTTTTAGGCACTTTTTTTGAGGATTCACCAATACTTGGTGTATCTTCATTAAGACAAAATAAATGCATGGAAGATAAGATAGAGAAATTGCTTGACATATTCTAGAAAGTGGATGGGCATTGTACATCTTGGTTCCCCCTAGCCTCTATGATTCTGCTGCACCCCAGGAGGTCATCAGCCTAAATGCATAGCTCATCATCTCCTCAAGCCCTTGCTCTCATTTGCTGCATATTCACTCCAGTCATGGCTTACCTCCAGCATGGTCTCTTCAGGCTTCCTGCCCTCTCAAACACCCCATTGTCTTTGATCTGGGGCAACTTTTGCCTTAACACAAGGAGTGGATCCAGAATGGCAGCAAAAGTGCCCTCTAAAGCTAGCTTTCAGTGCTGGACTAGCCATTCTTCCCTGCCATCTAGAAGTACCAGGAGGCATGACTCATTTCTAGACCAGTCACACATCTTCTATTGCACTGTCTTTCACTTCCTAGTCATGGAAGCAGCTGCTGCACATTGACCAACTCCCTTCATCTTTATCCTGGTCTTCTAATATAGTCTAAAATGCATTGTCTGGCATGGACAGGTTGTCCCATGTTATGGTGTAATGCCGAAAAATGCAACCATTTTAGTTCTTTTGTATAAGCCATGGCTACTAATAACAAATGCTTTGCTCCTCTAGCTTAATGCAGACCAAACTGTGTACCCCTGCTCACATTAGGCATCTCTCAAGAACAGACTCACTTGCGCATAGAGTAAGCTGTTAATGAAAGATAACCCCTTTGGCCTACAAATTGAGTTGGTTTGCTCTGAAAGTGAGCAATAAAGATGGAACCTCACACTTCCATATTTAGACTAAAGATACATTTACAATCTACGTACAAAATGTGGTCTTTTATTACATAATTACAACCCAGGTTGGGTTGTTTCTGACACAGTCCTCATCACCAGAAGCCTTAATTTTCTTATAGTTCGAGGATAATTGAGATATATCTCTGGCTTGGGCTTTTGCACTGAAGTCCATCTCTGTAGTATCTGAGAGCCTCCCCTAGAAAATCAATAACTATGACAAAGCTCTTAGTGTGTTTGGGACTCTCTGGCCCTTATTGTAAAAACTCAGTTTTCCCGTTTTGGTTTGGGTTTTTGTTTAGATTTTCCAAGGGGTAAAAGGGAATTCCACCTCTAGGTAAAGACCTGATGGTTGGAATATAGGCTGCAATGATCTCTTTATGTACTGAACCTGAAGCCATTGAGGTAATGTGTGGACATTTCCAAAAGTCATTGTAGAACTGGGGCCTTGGTGAACTGTTTGGTTGATAGTGCACAGTACTAAATTAATTCATGGCTTTCCTTTCCCATAACAGCCACTGGCACTAGCTGTGTTGCTTGGATCCAGACCAAAGTTCTCAGCACCCAACAGCACCAAAGCTTTGGTCCTTACTTTTTAGATGTCATACCTTTACCAAATGTTTTTAGAATCACAGTTTTTAAATATTAGTTACAGCAGCATTAATTTGTCCAAACAGAAAACAACACAGATCTTGGTAATGATCTTCTACTTGTTGTTTTTATCTCCCAATTGAATGTAGGTATGGTATACTCCAGAAGGGTACCACAGCCTTCCAGCTTATCTCAACAGCCTAAACAATTTCATTCTTAGAGCCAACCTGCCAAAAAACGAGTCTTCTAAACATGGTAGGTACACAGGAATCTTTGAAATCTTTATAACATCTCCCTTTGATACACATTGAGAAACTCCAGGTTTCTATTTGTAAAGCAAATGATGCAGTGGATAGGCTGGATTCACTGCTGGCATAAATTGGTGCTGTGTCTATTAACCCCAGAAGTAATTTGCCCTCATAAGACACGTCCCCATGAGCA